TCCCCTCGAGACCGACTGCCGTGGCACATCACGACATCACGACGGACGTGTCCGACCCACTTCAAAACAATGCCGCAGAACGATGTGGTCGAGGTTTCAAGTTGTGTTTTTGATCACGATGCTTTGCACGTTCCCAGCGCTCCTGTCTCGGTTCCGCGTTTCGAATCCGCAGCGCCGTACGACTCCCTCCTCTCCTCAATTCCCTCCTCTTCCTCCTCTTCCTCCTCGTCCGCGCCCATTTCGACACATCCCTCACGAGGATCCTGGCCCACAGGGAGCTCCACCGAAGCCTGAGCGGCAAAGTCGGCATAGCGCCCACCCCCACCCATTTCGGCACAACCCTCACGAGGACCGTGGCCCCGCAGGGAGCTTCACCGAGGGAGGAGGAGGAGGAGGAGGAGGAGGAGGAGGAGGAGGAGGAGGAGGAGGAGGAGGAGGAGGAGGAGGAGGAGGAGGGGGAGAGGATGGGAGGAGCTTGGGAGCGGGCGGATCCAGTCCGCGGGGGCAGCGACGAACTCCTACGCAGTCTGTCGAGTCTGTAGCGAGGCAGCTTAGCTCTTTGGCTTGAGGCCTCTGCGCTGCCTTGGTCCAAAATGGTGCCGTCCTCTTCTCTTCGCGCGCGCCTGCACTTCTGCCCCGCCCTCACCCCCCCCCCTCTCCTCGGCGGCGAGCGAGGGAAGGAGGGTGAGAAGAAGGAGGCCCTCTCGGAAGGCGGCGGGACTTCTCAGGAGCCCTCGCGCCTTCGGCGAGGTCTCTGTGCCTTCGGGGAGGGCTCGGAAAGCCTCTCAGAAGGCCAGGGGGGGTCCCGAGACGTCTGAGATGGCCCGCCCCTTCTCACCTCCCCCCCCCGGGAAGGCCAGACCTCAACAGAAGGCTCGCCGCCGACCTCCGTGGCCCTGCCAGACTCGAGGAGCCATCGCTCTCAGCGATTTCGTCGCCCTCCTCGGGCCTCCAGGCGTGCCTCGCCCCTCCCCCCCCTACAGCGAGCGCCTTGCGCACTCACTGTTCCACGGGGGCTCGGTCGCTCCTGAGGCCTGCATGCGTTGCCTGTCGCTCCTTCTGCGCTGTGCTTGAGGTAGCGGTCCTTCTGCGCCACTCCCTGGAAGAAAGGAAATGATCCCAGTGCGACCCTACCTAGGAGTTGGGGCCCCTAGGAAAGCCGCATTAGTAGTAACAGTAAAGCTAAGCTGAAGCTAATCTAAAGCTAAGCTGAAGCTAAGCTGAAGCTAAGCTAAAGCTGAGCTACAGCTGAGCTAAAGCTAAGCTAAAGCTAAGGTAAGGCTAAGCTAAAGTCAAGCTAAAGCTAAGCTAATGCTAAAAGTAAAGCTAAAACTAAAGCTAAAGCTCCCAGGGGACTGGGGGAACCGCTCCCAGGGGACCGGGGGAACCGCCCGGGGCGTGTAGCACTGCCCGGCTCCTTTAAGCTACAGGGTAAGAACCCTTCTAGGCAGAGCCGAGGTAGGGAAAAAGAGGGTCTTCGATCCTGGTGCGTCGCTCCCGAGGGCAGGCCGATGACTGCGTATTGGCCTCCCAGGGTCCAGGTTTCGGGTCTGTCCCCTCTCGGACCCCATGGGAGGCCTCTGGAGGCCAGCCTCCTCCGGCGAAAGTCTCGGGGGAGGCCGGGGTTCACCCAAAAGGGGGGTCCAGCGACAAAAGGGTCGGGGGCGGAAAAGAGGGGGGTGATGACTAGGGGGGGGGATATCATGGCGGGGGCCATGATATCTCCCCAGATTTCATGGCGCCTCTTCTTATTTCATTACGTCCCTGCCCCCGCGCTGGGCCGCGCACATGCTGCTGGTCATGATTAGCACCCCCCCCCTTGGACACCCCCCTCTTGGCCGCTCCCGAAAAGGGGTGGTGCAATAGATTTGATGCAATATATTTGTGGGGTTGCAGTACATCCGGGGCGTGGAATGCATTCAGGGGCGCAAGTGCATTGCTTGATCTTCGCATGCGACACATTCGCCGCAACGCAATGCAGTGCAATTCCCTGGCGCAGTACATGTACAACACAATTGCCCCAGATCCATTGCACCACCCCCTTTCAGCTGGACTCAAGTCGGGCCCATCCCTCTACAGGAGGAATATCCAAAAATAGTCCAGAAATAGTCTGGGGACTATTGTTTGAGTATGTTTGGGCGTCTTTTGAGCATTCTTGGAGTATTTTCTATTTTTCCTCCATAATCCCCCTGTAGGGGGACAGGCCCGACTTAGAGCTGGACCCCCTTTTGGGTCGACCAAAAGAGAGGCACGGGCCTCCCGGGGTGGCCGAGGAGAGCCAGGAGAGCTCGGGCGGCCCGCGGCGCAGCGGGGGCCCCTCGGGGGGGGGCTCGGTGGCTGTGAGCGTGCTTCTGCCTTCGGGCCTCCGCGGAGGCCTCCGCGGAGACCCCCGGGGGACCGGATCCCGGGCGGATCGGTGGGAACAACAACAACAACCACAACAACAACAACAACAACAACAACAACAACGATTACTAGCACGTGGGGACACTCCGTTCTCACCAGTGCCAGGGTTTTCATACGACGCCCGCCAATACCCCCACTTTGTGGGGGGGCCGGTTCAAGCTCTACCACATTTCCAAACGACTCTTCGCCACCACCCACACCCAGCTTCCCGCCCTAATACGTTCGGACACTTCACTTCGTGCCTGCGGAGTCGGGCTATTACACTGGTGCATGGTACTGTGACTTGTTCGTGGTAACATTTTCTGGACGCTACTTAGTAACCATTTGGTTTTTAGAGTCGAAACAGGCGCCGCGGTAGAAATTTTGAAAATTCGTACAGATTTTTTTCGAGGACCTACGGTGCGATTCGTATGATTTTATGTTGCGCGGTGCTAAAATTCCTAAGAAACCCAATGGTTTTTGAAGATTTCGGCGTGCGCGCGCGAAGAAAAAACGAATGTGTCCCGCAGGGTATTATTTGACAGGGATGATGGCCCTGGCAGGTGCGCAACCGTTGTTGGAGAAGTTCGAAGCACGTGAAAAAGTTGCTCGCAAAAGCCCGTTTGACAGAAATGTTTAAAAAGTGTTGGGTTTCCTACAAATCCGCAAGAGCGCGCGGGATGAAATGTTGACACTTTTTTTTGAAAAACCATTGGTTTTTTGATGTGATTATGTTAAAATCGCTACGAACACTAAGGTTTTGGAAGGATTTCGTCTTGCGCGCGCGAATGTCCACTTTACTTTATTTTTTGCAAGGGATTCTTGAAGTTTGGTTATGTTAGAACAAGAAATGTCCACTTTGCCTTATTTTCTGCAAGGGAAAACCGCCCGTAACAAAACAACCGGATCTGGACCAACCCGTTTTGCCAGAGACTTCCTCACGAAAATGATGAAAACATGGCTGCGGCCTAGGCGCGGCGAGGGGGCCGCGCACCAGGGGCCCCAACAATAATTATTCTTACAACAACAACAACAACAACAACAACATCAACAACAACAACAACAACAACAACATCAACATCAACCACAACCACAACAACAACCACAACAACAGCAACAACAACAGCAGCAGCAGCAGCAACAGCGACAGCGACAGCAACAGCAACAGCAACAGCAACAGCAAAAACCGCAGCAACAACAACACCAGCATCAACAACACCAAACAACGAACAAAAACAAGCACAAACACATAACAGACAAAATAAAAAAAAAAAAAAAAAAAAAAATAAAAAAGGGAAAAAAACACGCGACGGCCGGCTACCTTCGGGGCTGGGGCCCTCGGGGGCCCCGTCCGGACCCCGGCGCCCGCACGAGATTGCCCACGGCGTGATAGCCGTGGGGGGGCGGACGGGTCGAGAGCTCCTGGCGTCATGGTGCTCTGCGGACGTCGCGACAGGCTGTCGGGGTGCCAGGGACGTTTTGCACCCGGACACGATCGCGCCGTCCAACAAAAATCAGCACGGCGGGCCGTCGGCCGCTTTCGGCCTCGGGGGGCACCCGGCGGGCCTCGGGACCGTCGAAAACGAGTCAGGATGAAGAGCCGGCCCCGGGGGAAGGGTCTGGGCTTCCGGGAACGCCGCCCTGAACAAAAATCCGGACGTCGCATGTCTGGGCATGTGCTGGTAGTGTTCCCACTGCCAGCATCTCGAGCATGGCCAGCCCCGAAGATCAGAGGGACGCCCGGCTGCCCCCCCAGGCCTTTGCCGCCCCCCGCGGAGGCTCCCAAGGGCCCCGCTCCAGGCGGTGCCGCGCGCTCGCCTCGCCTCGCCTCGCCTGTGTTTGCGCCGTCATCGCTCGGACGTGTGTCTTTTTTCCTCGGCGAGGACCCCTGAGGAACATCCTGGATCCTTTGGCGAAAAAACCACGCGCGAAACCCGAAAAAAACACGGGGAATGGACGTCCGAGCGGTGGCGAGGGGCGGGGGGGCTGGCCCAGGGCGGGGGGGAGCATCGGCCCTCCCACGCCGCCTATACAGTCAAGTCGCTGGTAAGAGGATACCAGTCTTGCGCCTCGGGGTACCATAGCCAGGGCCACGAGACCTCCCCGAAAGTCACGGCAGCCCTTCCTCATTCCCGAGCGTGCCTTGCCCCCCCCCCCCTGCGCAGCGCATGCGCCCGGGGCAACCCCCCTTGCGCGCCCCACGCGCTCAGGAAGTTTGGCCTAGCGTCCGGTTCTGTCCCACCACGCTGCGGCGCGACACGCTATCCATGTCCCAGCAGTCCCCAGGCGCCAGTCCCCCGCGTTGTTCCCAGCCGCCCGCCACGCGGAGCGGTTCGACACGCTATCCGCTTGCAGGGCACAGCGTGTCGCCGGGGCCGCCGCCCCGACACGCTAGAAGCAAAATCTCCCGTCCCTATTTTTTTTTACAAAAATATGGAAAATAATAACTATTCAAAGAATTCTTGTTTTTTATGTGGTTTTATGTTGTTTCCAGATTCTTCCCCCGCTTCCCCCGCTTCCCCACCTTCGCCACCCCGCAGGCCCCCTGGCCGAGGGCAGGGCTTGGGGTGCGCCCTGCACTGGGACGCGCGCGCGCGCTGGTTCGCGTGCGCGCCATGGCCGCAGCGGCCGCCGCGCTGCCGGCGGCGCGGCGGCTCCGCGTCGGCCTGATAGGCCGAGCGCGCCGCGCGCTGCGTCGGGCCCCCCGCGTCCGGACGGCCCACCGGCCCCCGGGGTACCCCACCGAGCCCGTGCGGCATCTGAGCCCGGACGGCCGCCGAGCGGGCTCACGGTCGAGCCCACTCGGCGTCGGAGCGGGCTCGGTTCTCTCGACCTTTAGTCGGAGCCGAGCCCGTGCGGCGGCCCAATCTGCGGCCGACCAGGCTCAGACGCCGAACGGGCTCACCAGGGAGAACCGTGGGACCGTGGAGAAGACCACGGAGGGAAGGCCTGGGGGGCAGTCTTCGGCTCGTGGCCCGGGGAGAGCGTCCCAGAGCTCCGACAAGCGCCGCACCGCTCGCCCCCTCCTCCCCCCCCAGCGTTCCCCAGCAGCCGAGCGTTCCCCAGCCGCCCAGTGTTCCCCAGCAGCACAGTGCCCGCTCCCCCCAGTGCCTAGTGCCCCCTCCGCCCCGACCCTCCGGCGTTCCCCCAGCAGCCCAGGTCTCCCCCGCTTGTTGCCCCTTCTTCGTCCTATGATTCCCATCTCCTTCCTCCCTAGGTGCAAGAGCTATTGCACGCGTAGCCTTGTTTTTGGCCTCGGGAAAAGTACCATGGGAGTCCCTAGAGCGCCCGAAATACGGGGCATGGGCCTTCTAAGCGTAGCGTGTGCAATACCAGATACAAAGAACTCGAAAGAATTTGACGACTGCATGCGGTGCCTCGGTTACGGTCGCGGATTTTGGCCTTCTCGTCTCCACAACAGGTTGCAGAAGTAATATAACCTCTCGCCTTCGGCAATTTCTGGGCGCTCCAGTTTCTGCAGGGTGGGTTGGTTCTGTGGGCAGGAAGGACTGCATAATTTTTACACTGCAGGGGGGCGCGACCAGCCTTGCTTTGGTTGGCTGCTTATGTTGTCCCCAACCTTCCCGTGTTGTTGGGACCTTGTTCTCTCTTTGCCGCGCAGCGCGTTGCCCACTCACGTTGCGCCTAATTACCCCCCCTCCCCCTCCCCGTTCAGTTGGCTCCGGCCGTTACGATGCCTGCTGCTGCGCCGCCTGCCGCTCCGCTGTCTTTTGCTGCGCTGCCTACTGCCTGCTGCCGCTGCCCTGTCGCTGCTGCTGTGGCCGCTGCCGGCCGCTCCTGTTGCTGCAGCTGCTGCTGCTGCGCTGCCAGCCTCTGGTGCCTGTGCTGCGCGTGCTGCGCGCATGCCTGCCTCGGCCACGCGCAGAGGGAGGCGGGGAGAGGGGGGAGGGCCTCTGAGAGGCACCCCTGCCTCTCAGGAGGCACGGGCCTTCTCTACAGATGCGAGGCCGGCGCGTTCTGAGAGGCAGCCTCCTTCTAAGAAGCCCTCCCCCCTCCTTCCACCCCCTGGTGCGCACCTTCAAGCGCCTGCGTCAGCACCTCCATCACGCAGCCCGGGCACCCTGCGGAGCTGGCGCCCGTGGCCCCCGCGGTGGGCGTCGGCGTGTGGCCCCCGCGCCCAGGTCGGCACATTCGCACAGAGGTCGTGCCCAGGGAGGCGCCACCTGCGCCCCCCCCCCGCAAGAGCTCCTCCTCCTCCTCCTCCTCCTCCTCCTCCTCCTCCTCCTCCTCCTCCTCCTCCTCCTCCTCCTCCTCCTCCCCTCACCCTCCCCTACCTCTCCTCCCCTCCTCCTCCACCTGCTGCCCCCACGCGGGCTCTCCGCGTGCGGCCCCCCGGGGCGCCAACTCGGTTACAACCAATCAACACAACCAAACGCCCGTCCATTATCAGGGGTTTCTTCCTGTGGCCCCCGCGGGGCGGCTTTCGAGCGGGCCCCCCGCCCCATCCTGGCACAACCCTCGCACGCATGGCGCCCGCATGTGGGCGCCCCGTTCGATTCCCCCCCCCCCAAGCCCCCGCGGTCTGCATCGCACAGGGAAGGACCACCCCTTGGGGAAGGACCACCCCTTGCGCTACACGCAGCCATTGGGGGCCCTTGACATTCCGTAGCCGTTTTGGCTGATGTTCAGGCTCGCATTTGGAAGTGTGCACCCCCCTGGTTTCCACATTACTGCAGCCTTCTCTCAGAATAGATTCACGCACATGGCCCATGGCCCACACATCTTCACGCGCGCGGTGCTTCTTGCTCTTCAGTGCATTGTGTCCACTGCTGCGACCAGGTCTGCTAAGTTTCGTGTTCCACGCGTTTGTGGGGGGTCGTCGCGCACCTCAGCACCGCTGCGAGTCCCGTTTGAGAGAATGCCCTGTTGGATATTCTGGGACGCGAGAGCGAGATATGAACACAGCACGCAGCGGCAATGGTGATAATCACGCCAACCAGCTGTACCCGAACAACCCAGAGCTCAAGACTGGGAAGGGACGTGCTTTCGTCAAGCCCCCGTTGGCAGCAGCCAGCAATGATAACCGCGCCAATCGGCTGAACCCGAACAACCCAGAGTTCAAGACGGGGAAGGGACGTGCTTCCGTCAAGCCCCCGCCGGCAGCAGCCAGCAATGACAACCGCGCCAATCAGCTGAACCCGAACAACCCAGAGTGCAAGGCGGGGAAGGGACGTGCTTTCGTCAAGCCCCCGTCGGCAGCAGCCAGCAATGATAACCGCGCCAATAAGCTGAACCCGAACAACCCAAACTTCCAGATGGGGAAGGGACGTGCTGTCGTCAAATGTTCGCCGACAGCGGCCAGCAATGATAACCGCGCCAATCAGCGGAATCCCAACAACCCAGAGTGTTTCAGATCGAAAGGCATGGACGTACCACCGAAGAGTTTGTTGCCTATCATTTCGCAGAGCATAGCGCGAAAGAAGCGGGCCGAAGGCGTTTTTGAGAACGTGGCCAACCGACTGGCCCCGAGGGACAGGGTGTCCGCGAGCGCAGTTCAAGATTTCTCTTTGTGCTTGCGGAAGTTCTGTGGCGGAGACTCAAAAATCAGGTTGAAGGGTTCCAGACTCAAGCGTGTTGCCATCAAAGGGAGCGATTTCGATTATCAAAGACGCCTACGGCGAGTCACCGCCGCCCCCTGCCTTGTCCGTAAACGCTTGCGTAGCGAAATGTCGAGCGAAAGCGCGGCCACGCAAGTGGACCGCGTGCTCCCCAGCCGTTGGGAAAACCACTGGGGGGCACTGGGGAGGGGTCCTATTAGGGGCAGCATTGAGGCTCTTGTGTTCGCTTGTGGGTAGCATTATCGGTGGTCCCTTGGCCCATCCGGCGCCTTCGGAAACCTCGTGGGCCTCTCGTGGCCGTCTTGCGGCCCTCGTGGAGCCACCTGGAGCTGCCTTGGGGCCCTGTCTGGGCAGTGTTGATTCCCCCTTGGGGCATCTTTGGGCCGACATGAGTTGTTCCTTGGGAGTGCCGCTTGGGCCATCCTAGACGCTCTGAAGACCGAAAGGGCGAGAATCCGAAACAGATTCTAGAACACAGGTCAACGATGTTAGCCCCATTGAGCCGATGGCTCGCTCCACATAGCTTGCATCACATAGCCTACAACACATGGGCTCCTCATCCAGAGTCCGTAGAATCACTGCTCGGGATCCACGCTGGCGAACACGCTGTTGATGTCCTGATGCTGGCCGGCCGGGACCTCCCCGCGGGCCTCCAAGGCAGCGCCCAAGAGGCGCCCAAGAGAGCCTCGGGAGGGCTGCGTGGGGCCAGCCTGGGCCGCGTGGACCGCGAGGCTCCCGGGCCGCGCCTCCGAGACCTCCGGGAGCGCCGCGCGGCATGCCCCACGGGAGCGCCGGTGGGGCGCGCCCCGGGCTGTCGCGAGCCGTGGGTCCGGGAGCCACCGCCCCGGAGAGGTCCGAGGCCGCGGGGTGGTCCACACGGGGCCCCCGGAAGCTCGACCCGTGCCCGGGGACCGGAGTCTCCTCCTCCTCCGCCTCCTCCTCCGCCTCCTCCTCCTCCTCCTCCGCCTCCTCCTCCTCCTCCTCCGCGGTGTTCCACACACGGCCCTGCAGGCCGGGCGAGGGCCTCTCGAGGCCGAGCGTCGGGACGGGCCTGCGTCTGCGGGCTTGGTTCAGTGCGCGGGAGCTCCGGGGAGAGCCACAGCGCAGGTGTTGCACCGACGGTGGGGCGCGCAGGGTGCCCGCGCAGACGGCCGCGCGTGAGCGCCCTCGGTGTCACGCGGCGTGCCACGCCGTCGGGCCGCGTGAGACACCGCGCGAGGTCGCCAGGTCAGCTCGCGTGAGGCCCGTTGCTTTGAAGTCGCGCATGTCGCTCCTACAGGAGGAGTATGCAAAAGTGATGCCAATATAGCCTGGGGACGTTTTTTGACTATTCTTGGGCTTTATTGTTTATGTTTGATTATTCTTGTTTTTCGTCCCAAACCAACCTGTAAGTAGGAGGGCATGCCCGACCTGACCGTTGCTGTTCGTCGCTCAGTTGTTCTTGCCACGGAGCTCGGACAGACTACAGCATGCGCCACTCAGTGCCTCGCGGCTTCGTGGTGGATCAGATTGAGACAAGCAGCCCTATGACCGAAGCGCAGAGGGATAACATATTGGATTGCATGCGTGGCTTGGGTTTCCATATCGAGTGCAAGAAGGCGTTCACCGTGAACGCAAGTCCACCCATCGATTTCTTCCCACCGAAGGCGCAGTGGCACTCCAAAGGCATCAAAGTGGAGTCCCCTGGCGCAGTGCGGTTTGACGACGGCGCAAAGAGAGCAATCAAGATTCTCAAGGAGTGGTCACAGGCCATCGAGTTGAGCGTGCGTTCGAAAGACTTGGAAGAACTCATTTTTCAAATCCAACGAGACAAAGGATGGAATGCAAAAAACGACCGTAGTGGTATCAAGCGGTGTGGCGAAGCAAAAGCGCGGCTTCTGAGCAACCTTGTCGACATCCAGTGAGCGGCATTTGCTCTGACTTTTGGAGTGGGTGCAACTAGTGACCGATGGTGTCTCTGCTCTCTATTCGGTGCCCGAGCTGGATCATCATGGAGCGCCCCGTGCTGCGCAAACTGATCCACGGACCAGGGCAGTGCGATCCGAGCATGGCGAGCACAGGCTCGATGCTCCCTGACTGCCTGCCGCCGCCGCCGGGAGGAAGACCTCGGAGTCTGCAGCGGAGCAGAAGGGTGCAGCCGCCAACCCGAAATTCGGGATCCACCTGAGAGGACCCAGGCGACAAGCGTGCACGCTGTCGCGGGTCTTTCGATATCTTGGAGCTCCAGGATAAAGCTGTGTGAGGCAATCCGTGTGGCAATTTTGGAGGCATCTTGAGGTCTTCGGCTCTCTTGGGCCCTTTTCAGACCCCTTGGGGGCCATCTTGGATGGCATCCCAAAAAGAAGCGATAAGCGATGCCCCCCTAGAGCCCGAATCATATTCGACTGAGTCACTCGTAGGCAGCTTTCGGGAGTTTTATAGGCTTATTGATCCTCACCTGGTCAATAAAAATAGCGGTTTCTGCAATATGGGTGTGGTAGTGATTTTGATTATAGTTCTGGTTCCGGTTCCAGTTCTGGTTCTGATTCCGGTTCTGGTTCCGGTTCTGGTTCTGGTGTTGGTTTCGGTTTCGGTTGCGGTTTCGGTTCTGGTTCCAATTCTTTTCTTCGTTGGGGTCCTGAAGAAGACCCCCGTGGTCACCGTTTTTGTCTTGGTTCCGGTTCCGGTTCCGGTTTCTTTCTTCTTCTTCCAGGCCGGAAGAAAAATTCCCAGATTACGGTTTTGGTTCCGGTTCCGGTTCCCGCTTTTCCCGAAAAGTACCTCCCAGCAGGTTTCGGTTATGGTTCCGGTTCCGGTGTTGGTTTTTCTTCCACCTCCTTGGTCACGGTTTTGGTTCCGGTTCCGGTTTTGGTTCCAGTTTCTTCCGACCTCACGGTTTTGGTTCCGGTTTTGGTTATGTTTTTCCCAACCCTCCTGCGTTGGGTATTAGTTTTGAATAGAGCACTGTGGTCTCCACCTTCCTTCCTTCCTTCCTTCCTTCCTTCCTTCCTTCCCGCCCCTCTCTTCGCTCCTCCTCTTCTCTTCTCTTGCCTCTTACGTTATCTCTGGGGGGCTGCGATCTGTGAAACTGTCGCCACTTTCGAGGGCTGCTGGGGGGCCCAGCGGAGTGACGCCCTACGGGGACTCAGATTAGACCTCGCCATCCCTGGGGGGCTGCGATCTGAGAAACTGTCGCCACTTTCGAGGGCTGCTGGGGGGCCGCCAGCGAGTGACGCCCATACGGGATTCAGTTAGACCTCGGCCATCCCTGGGGGGCTGCGATCTGTTAAACTGTCGCCACTTTTTTTTGCGAGGCTGCTGGGGGCCCAGGGGGAGTGACCCGTCTACGGGGACTCAGATTCGACCTCGGCCATCCTGGGGGGCCTGGCGATCTGAGATATCTGTCGCCACTTTCGAGGGCTGCCTGGGGGGCCCAGAGGAAGTACGCCCAACGGATCAGATTAACCTCGCCATCCCATGGGGGCTGCGATCTGTGACACCCGCCCCACTTGCGAGGGCTGTGCTGGGGGGCCCACGGATGACGCCCCTTACGGGAATCAGATTTTCGACTTCGTCGCCATCCCGGGGGGGCTGCGATCTGTGAAACTGTCGCCACTTTCGAGGGCCCTGCTGGGGCCCAGGCGAGTGACACGCCTTCGGGAGATTCAGATTTCCGACTTCGCCATCCCAGGGGGGGCTCGATCTGCGATCTGTGAAACTGTCGCCACTTTCGAGGCCTGCTGGGGGGCCCAGCACAGTGACGCCACACGCAGATTCAAATTAGACCTCGCCATCCCTGGGGGGCTGCGATCTGTGAAACTGTCGCCACTTTCGAGGCCTGCTGGGGGGCCCAGCACAGTGGGTACTCACCGCAGATTCAAATAAGACCTCGCCATCCCTGGGGGGCTGCGATCTGTGAAACTGTCGCCACTTTCGAGGCCTGCTGGGGGGTCCTGCATAGAGGGTAATCGCGGCGGATTCAAATTAGACCTCGCCATCCCTGGGGGGCTGCGATCTGAGAAACTGTCGCCACTTTCGAGGCCTGCTGGGGGGTCCTGCATAGAGGGTAATCGCGGCGGATTCAAATTAGACCTCGCCATCCCTGGGGGGCTGCGATCTGTGAAACTGTCGCCACTTTCGAGGCCTGCTGGGGGGCCCAGCACAGTGACGCCACGGGCGGATTCAAATTAGACCTCGGCATCCCTGGGGGGCTGCGATCTGTGAAACTGTCGCCACTTTCGAGGCCTGCTGGGGGGCCCATCACAGTGACGCCACGCGCGGACCCAAATTAGACCTCGCCATCCCTGGGGGGCTGCGATCTGTGAAACTGTCGCCACTTTCGAGGGCTGCTGGGGTGGCCAGCGGAGTGACGTCATACGGGGATTCATATTAGATCTCGCCATCCCTGGGGGGCTGCGATCTGCGAAAGTGTCGCCACGTTCGAAGGCTGCTGGGGGGGCCAGCGGAGTGACGCCCTTCGGGAATTCAGATTCGACCTCGCCATCCCTGGGGGGCTGCGATCTGTGAAACTGTCGCGCCAACTATCGAAGGCTGCTGGGGGGCCTCAAGCCGGAGTGTCGCCCTACGGGATTCAGAGTAGACCTCGGACAGATCCCTGGGGGGCTGCGATCTGTGAAACTGTCGCCACTTTCGAAGGCTGCTGGGGGGCCCAGCACAGTGGGCACCCACGGCGGATTCAAATTGGACCTCGCCATCCCTGGGGGGCTGCGATCTGAGAAACTGTCTCCACTCATTCGAAGGCTGGGGGGCTCTGCCGAGTGTCGCCCTCGGAATTCCAAGTTAGACCTCGACATCCCCTGGGGGGCTGCGATCTGGAGAAACTGTCCGCCACTGTCGAAGGCTGCTGGGGGGGCTCAGCCGAGTGTCGCCCACGAGGATTCAGATTAGACCTCGCCATCCCTGTGGGGGCTGCGATCTGAGATACTGTCCGCCACTTTCGAAGCTGCTGGGGGGCTCAGCCAAGTGACGCCTAACGGGGATTCAGATAGACCTACGCCATCCCGGGGGGCTGCCGATCTGCGAAACAGTGCGAACTTTCGAAAGCTGCTGGGGGGCTCATCGAGTGACGCCCTACGGGATCAGATTAGACCTCGCCATCCCTGGGGGGGCTGGCGATCTGAGAAACCGTCGCCACTTTCGAGGGATGCTGGGGGGCCCAGCGGAGTGACGCCCTGCGGGGACTCAGATTAGACCTCGACATCCCTGGGGGGTTGCGATCTGTGAAACTGTCGCCACTTTCGAGGGCTGCTGGGGGGCCCAGCGGAGTGACGCCCTACGGGGATTCAGATTAGACCTCGCCATTCCTGGGGGGCTGCGATCTGTGAATCTGTCGCCACTTTCGAGGGCTGCTGGGGGGCCCAGCGGAGTGACGCCCTTACGGATTCAAAATTATCCTCGCCCATCCCATGGGGGGCTCGATCTAGAATCTGTCGCCACTTTCGAGGGCTGCTGGGGGCTCAGCCGAGTGTCGCACAACGGGGATTCATATTTTAGATAAATACCTTCCACTGGGGGGGGAGCGATCTGAGAACTGGTCGCCACTAATTTCAAGGCTGCGGGGGGGCTCAGCCGAGTGACGGCCCGAGGGATTCAGATTAAGACTCGCCATCCCGGGGGGGGCTGCGATCTGATAACGGAAGAGCACGTTGCGTGGCGCTGGGGGGCTCAGCCGGATGGTCGGCCCTACGGATCAATTAGACCTCGCCATCCCTGGGGGGCTGCGATCTGTGAAACTGTCGCCACTTTCGAGGCTGCTGGGGGGCCCAGCGGAGTGACGCCCTACGGGGATTCAGATTAGACCTCGCCATCCCTGGGGGGCTGCGATCTGTGAAACTGTCGCCACTTTCGAGGGCTGCTGGGGGGCCCAGCGGAGTGACGCCCTACGGGGATTCAGAATAGACCTCGCCATCCCTGGGGGGCTGCGATCTGTGAAACTGTCGCCACTTTCGATGGCTGCTGGGGGGCCCAGCACAGTGGGTACCCACGGCGGACTCAAATGGGACCTCGCCATCCCTGGGGGGCTGCGATCTGTGAAACTGTCGCCACTTTCGATGGCTGCTGGGGCCCGAGCAGTGCGCGAGCCTCACGGTGGCCATGGGGAGGACACCTGGCGAGAACAGCCTCCTCCTCCTCCTCCTCCACCTCCTCCTCCTCCTCCTCCTTCCTCACTCCTCTCCTCCACCAACTCCACCCCCCTCCCCCTCCCCCTCCACCTCCCCCGTCCCCCAATCCTTTCCCCTCGCTCCCCTCCCCCCGCTCCCCCCCCCCTCCGGGAAAGGGCCTCCCTCCTCCCTCCTCCCTCCGCTCTCGGGGGTCGAAGGAGTTGTCCCACCTCTTCCTCGGCGGAAGGCGGCGGAAGGTCGGCGGAAGTAAAACGAGGCCGCATCCGGCCGTGGAAGCCGGCGGAGGGGCGACGAAAGGCGGCGGGAGTAAAAAGTACGTACATCCCGAGAGTTGACGACATGTTTGGGTGCAGGGTTTCTTGAAGCCGTGATGTAGTGCAAACAGGGCTTGATGAAAACCGGAGACGGGATAAAGTAGCTCTGCCCTTCTGGAGCCAGATTCATCGCCTCTCGGAGCCCTTCGGGTCCGTCTCGGACCTCGTCTGGGTCCGTGTTGAGGCTCTGCGGGGCGACTTCACAGCCATCTCGAAGCCTCAGAAGGCCATCGGAAGCAAAAGGAACCGAGAAAGCAAAAGTCACTGAACACGAAACGTAGTTGAACGATGTTGGTGTCTCGGTAGTGTCCTTCGTAGGTTCTGTGGCCATTTGGAGCCGTCATGGGGCAGTCTCGGGGCCTCTTGGAGGATTGCTGAAAGCGATCTCGAGCCAATTTGGGCCATCTTGCAGGCCATCGCAGGACATATGGAACCATCTTGGGCCAAAAGCGTCCCAGGAATACCCCCAAGGGGGCGAACCTTAACCATGGGGTGTTTTAGTGATTCGGTCTGCGAGAAGGCATGATGGAGTCCTCGATTAGCCCCAGCCAGAGCCCGAAAGATTTTCTCTTGGAGTTCGCTGGGGTTGCTCTTTTCAGGCGCTCTCGTTTGCTCTCGGTGCCATGCTGGACCTACTCAGGGCCCATCGTGGGGCTCCCCTAAGCGATATTTGGAGCCATGTTGAGGCCTCGGAAGCGAAAAGGGGAGAATGTTAAAATCGGAGGCGAGGGGGTGAGATCACAGTGAACGGGAGAGCCCCCCACCGGGAAATCGGTTTCGTGTTCGTGTTCGTGTCGTGCGTGCGGGCGAGGCGAAACTGCGTGGGCGGGCGAGAGGAGTGACCCGGCTGTGGCCAGGGCGGGGCGAGACAATTGCCCGAACCTTCCCCCCGACGGTGTTTTTGAATAATTTGGGCATCTCGGTGTTGTTCTTGGGAGGCTCCGAGGTCTCTTGGAGCCGTCGCTGGGCAGTCGTAGATATTCCTGTAGGCAAGCTGGAAGCACTATTGAGCAGCCCCATTGGAACTGTTTTCGGCCATCTCTAAGAAGCCCTCGCGCTCCCCCCCCCGCCGTCCAGACCAATGGAAGAAACTTCCCTTAACAAGGCGGCGATCCCCTCCAGTCCCAGGGCGGCCATGACCCCAGCGAGCCCGTCCCTCCAGGATGGCCCAGGACGACCGGACAAGACACGGCAAGACGAGGCAAGTCCTAACAAGACATTCCAAGACAGCCTCCAGGTCGGCCCAAGATGGTCTGCTGATACGCTACAGTGAGGTACCCAAGATGACAACATGTTCGAAGTACGTTGTAGCGAATCTAAGATAATTGCCCTCTCGTCGCTCCCGAAGGGTTCTTGAGGCCTTGAGATGGCATTGACATAACCCGAGGGGAGCGACAAGACGGCCCCAACGGAGGCCCAACAGCACCCCAGCTTGTTCGAAAGTTCGACAATGCTGGCAGTGGCCAGCGTCTCCCCGAAGGCAGACTCACGGCGCTCCCTGCCCATGATCTCGGCGCCGCGCCGGCGTGTGGTGGCGTGCCCACGCCGCGCGAGGAGCCCAGACGCCCCCTATAGGCGGCCCAAGACGACCAGAGCAGGCAGAACAGGGCCAGACGAGACGAGACGAGACGAGACGTTGCTGGACACGCCCAGACAGCTTCTGAGCTGGCCAGGAGGTGCCCCAGCACGCCGCCAGCGGGCCCCCACCGCAGAGACCAAGGCCTTGCAGGAGCAGCGGGGACATGTCAGAGGTGAGGGGGCCGAGTGGTCATTCGCTGTCCCTGGGCGCGTGGTTGCAGTCAGGTTCTGCAGTGCGGATTGTTGTTGTTGGTGTGAATGTTGGTGGTATTGGTGTTGATGTTGGTGGTGGAGGTGGAGGTGATGGTGGTGGTGGTGGTGGTGTTGGTGTTGTTGTTGTTGTTGTTGTTGTTGTTGTTGTTGTTGTTGTTGTTGTTGTATTGTTGGTGTTGTTGTTGTTGCTATTAGTGTTGTTGATGATGTCGCTTGTTGTTGCGTGTTGTTGTTGGTGGTGTTGTTGTTGGTGTTGCTGATGTTGTTGTTGTTGGTGTTGGTGTTGTTGTTGGTGTTGGTGTTGGTGTTGTTGCTGTTGTTGGTGTTGTTGTTGATGTTGTTGTTGTTGTTGGTGTTGCTGCTGCTGTTGTTGTTGTTGTTGGTGTTGTTGTGGTTGTGGTTGTGGTTGTGGTTGTTGGTGTTGTTGTTGGTGGTGGTGGTGGTATGTTTGTTGTTTGTTGTTTGTTGTTTGTTGTTTGTTGCTTGTTGTTTGTTGGTTGTTGGTTGTTGTTTGTTGTTTGTTGTTTGTTGTTTGTTGTCGTCGTCCCCCCTGCGACCCCGCCCGCGACCCACCCGCGACCCAGCCCGCGACCCACCCGCGACCCACCCGCGACCTGGCCCGCGACCCAGCCCGCGACCCACCCGCGACCCACTCGGCGACCCACCCCGCGACCCATCCACGGTGCCATAACCAAAAAAAACGCCTCTGCGGCGAGCTCGCTGCACAATTTGTTTAAAGGAGGCGCCTGCGGCGGGCTTCTCCAAAGCCTCGCAGACTGCCCACGTCCCCGCCGCCCCCGCGCTCTCATTCGCACCTGCGGGGTGCTGCGTATTATCTGCGCCCTCTCGCCTTCTCGCGCCCGAAAGACTCCTGAGGCCTCGAGATGCCCGTAGGAGGGCCCACGGAGCCCGCGAAGGCTGGCCCAGGAGGGGCCCCAGACCGTCCCAGAGGCCCCGAAGAGGGCCCGAGAGAGTCCCCAGGGGGTCCGAGCCGCGCAAAGCCCCGAAGGGACCAGCAAGGGCCCTCGTCCTGGGAGGCCGGCACGGCCTCAAGAGGCTTCGAGGGCCACCGGAGAGGCCCCACGAGTCCTCGAAGGCGACTTCCAGAGCCCCCCAGGAGGTCCCCAAAAGGCCCCCGAGCTGCGCCCAGGGAGCCCCCTCAGCGGGAGGCTCCACTTGGGCGCGGAGGAGGTGGACGGTCTTCTGGCGGTGGGGGGGGGATCAGACTCCTCCCCGAGGGGGAATACAGTCAACCCGCAGCGTAAGGATGGGCAACCTACCCAAGGGTACCCTTGCATCCTGGCCTCCCCGGTCCATCCTTGGCCACTGTCGTTGGCCACGCCCCGCTCGAAAGGCTCTGAAATGGGCGTCCAAGGCCCTCGCATCCTTATCGCGCATCCTCACTACACGGGTTGGCTGTACAGCCGAGGAGATATGATCCAGAAGGTCCTCCCGAGAAGCTGGGCCAGCGTCTCTGAGCCAGCCTGCCGGAGAGCTGCTAACCCAGTTCCTAGAGCCCGGTCGCCCTCCGGCGTTGCAGACAGACGCTGAACCCAGGCTCGTGTTGAGAGTTTTCATTGGACGTGGCGTCGTTCGGACGTGTGCATCTTTTCTCGGCGAGAACCCTCGAGGACCATCCTGGACCATCGAGCAAAAAAGACGCGCACGAAGCCGGCAAGTGCACGGGAAATGGACGTCCGAGAGACGGCAAGGGCTTGTGTTGAGAGTTTTCCCTGGAAGTTGGCAGCGTTTTCTTAAATGATACGGTGGGCGCGTTCTTTAAGGAATGTGCCCAGGAAGCTTCGGACCCTGGAAGATTCCTTCTCTGATGAGGGCGGCGGTGATATCCATGGCCGGTTCTCGATTGCAAGACGGTGCGGTGACGGACCGTGCGGTGTGGTCTCTTGGGGTTCCGAGGTCACCGCACGGTCTGTCACCACACGGTTTTGGGATCCCCTACGCTTTATCCCCGCTCTCTGTGGGGCACTTGAGCGCCGCAAGGGGGCATTCGGCTTGGCATCGCTCGGACGTGTGCCTTTTGTTTGACGGCGAGGACCATCGAGGAGCATCCTTGACCATCTGGCCAGAAAAGCACGCACGACATCGCAAGATGTACGGGGCATGGACGTCCGAACGATGGCGAATCGGGGGCAACGTCTGGAGGCTCCGGGCTTCCGACGTTTCGTCGGCTCCCTCTGGTTCTCCTGCCACGGGCTGCCCTCCAGCAGCTGCGCCTCGTCGAAAGCGTGCTGGGGGGGGCCCGATCCTCCCGAGCGGCCACCAGAGAGCTGAGCCATGGCCCGAAAACCAAGGGACAGCCCTCCCCCCCCCCACGCGCGGACATTATTCCCCCCTCCGGCGCCGGCGCTCTCACTCCCGGGTGCCAGCCCCCCCTCCCCGGTGCCAGCACCTCCTCCTCCTCCTCCTCCTCCTCCTCCTCCTCCTCCTCCTCATCATCATCATCATCATCATCATCATCATCATCATCATCCTCATCCTCATCCTCATCCTCATCCTCATCCTCCATCCTCCACCCCCCTCCTCCTCCATCTCTCCTCCTCCTCCTCCTCCTCCTCCTCCGCCTCCCTCCTCCTCCTCCTCCTCCTCCTCCTCCTCCTCCTCCTCCTCCTCCTCCTCCTCCTCCTCCTCCTCGTCCCGAGGCAGTCCTGATAGGGAGGGGCGCATCGACCCCTGAGCGCCCACTGTTCGCCGACGGGGGCCCGACAGCGCGCCCTGCTCGGGAGCGCGCCGCCCCGCCCTCGGGGACGCGCCGCCGAGCTCTCGGCGATGCATCTCCGAGCCCAGCTCGCTGCCAACGTCTCCCCTGCCGGCGGCCGCGCGGCTCTGCTGTGGAGCGCCAGCGCAGCGGGAGCAGCTCTCCGCCCGGACGTCCTCCGATCGGACCCCTTTTCTGCTCTGCGCGGCCCCAGGCGTCCCGGCCCTCTTCCCGGGGTCGTTCTCGGTCGCCCCGGAGCCGCCTCTGAGGGCCCCGGGGCCCGACCATGGGCTCGGGGAGCCGCGAGTCGCAGAAGAAAGCGCCGCGCTGGCGGGCCCAGTCGTCGGAGCTCTGCGGCTGTCGGGCCGCCGCGGCGGGCCGGCGGCGCGGCGCCGACGGCGGCGCGCGGGGGAGGCGCCGGGCCGAGAGCGGAGGGGCCGGATAAAACGACGCGAAGATCGGGACAAAATCGGATCGGGATAATTCCAAGTCTCTGAGAATCGGCGGGGTTTGGAGGATGTATTGGGCGCCGCGGCCGCTCCAGAGCGTTCCGGAACGCTCTGAGAGCGCTCCGGAACGCTCTGGAGCGATTTATCCCGATCCTAGCTCTGTTTTAGAGGCCACGGCACGATCGGCCAGTACGTGGCCGAGAAGCTCCTGGACGGCCGCACGCTGCCGGGGGCCACCCTGAGCGCGGTGTTGCCTGAGGGGGGGTCGGTCTGAGGCTGCGGCTTTTGCTGGCCACGCGCAGAAGGGGGTAGGGTGAGGGGGGAAGGCTTCTTAGAAGCACCCCTGCTTCTTAGAAGGCGCGGGCCTTCTTTGTAGATGTAAGGCCGGCGCCTTCTAAGAAGCAGCCTCCTTCTAAGAATCCTTCGCCCCTCCCCCTACCCCCTTGTGCGCGCCGCCAATGTTGTGTGTGTGTGTGCAAACGCGCATCACTGCATTTACCATCACGGTGTGTGCGTGTACCCATACCCGTCGGTCGTTGAAAGTAGGTATTTCTGGAGTCCCAGATTACATATATACATTTAAAGCGCCTTCCTACTTCAATGACAGAGTGGCTTCACCTTTTCCGTCCTCCTTAGGGGGCGGACGGAACCCAATCTATTTTCAACGCCTTCCTATGTCATGATTCTATATACTTCCTCCGACCGATGGGTAAATGCCTTCCTTGCCTGCGGGGGATGGAGGAGTTGGCGTCTCTTCCTCGGCGGAAGGGCAGCGTAAGCGCAGCGGAGACCAGCGGAGGCAAAAAACAGGGGCGGCTCCGTCGGCAGAAGCCGGCGGAGGCTGGCGGAAGTAAAGGATGGCCCCCCAAAGAGACGACAAGTTTGTGGGGTTCAGGGAGTCCCGAAACCTCCGTACACATGACTACACCACACACATGTCACTACATATGTTTTTTTGTTCTCTCTCTCTCTCTCTCGATCTATCTATATATATATATATACACGTGCAAATGCATGCACATGTTGTTGAATCGAGTTGTTGCTCTCGAAGAAATACTGTTGGTACACCCACCGTGGCGCGACCTGCAAAGTCAGCATGGCGCGACCTTCACAATCACCGAATATTGCGACCGTGGGCGCGAGCAATGCGCAGAAGATTGCGCTTACGCCCACGCCTCAGTCTGCACCATGAGATGCATCGTTTTGAAACACATGTGAGCACGATTGGTTTCTTCACTGGGCCATACGATCTTGTCATGGCATTGCCGTGTGCTCAAACATGTTACAGGCATGGTTGTCTACCCTGTGCTCGCGCACACATATACTGCCCGCTATACAGTCTGGACGCTGAACTAAGGACCACGTTCGGCTCAGAAGGGGCTACGGTCCTCGGGCAGTTCCCTCACCCAGGTCTGGGGAAATGTGTTCGGCCGAGGCCCGCCGTGCCTTGAGACGCCCCTTCCTTCCCTGGCTGGCGTTCCTCCTGGCCACACGATGGAGTGCACCCCCCACGCGAAGGCTGGGTGCACACGGGCTTGGCAGCTGGGGCGGACAAAAGGAGCCACCGCTCTCGAGGGCACTTGTTCTGTGGAGTCTTGCCGTGGAGACCTGGCGCGGCGGCGGGCAGCGGCTCATTGCACCGCCGCCGCCGCTGCCCTCGAAACAGCGGCTCGGGATGAGCAGCCGGCCCTGGACCGGCTTTTCCTTGGGATCTTCGGCCACGCTCGGAGGGGGGTACAGTGGCGACCCATGCCAGGAAACAGCCTGCTCGCCTCCAGGGGGCCCTGGGTTTTCTGGGTTTCGATGGTTTCGCTTTGGAAACGTGACGTTCCCACACCAAAAATCCATGGACGTCCTGGGGTCTCATGGTTGGGTTTCTGGTGGAAAGTTTCTTGTGGTCGGGCCCCTACTGCAGGATTAGGCCGGGCACGTCACTCTACAGGAGAAGAATAGTAGAAACGTGCTCTGGAGGCGATGTTTCGACTATGTTCGGCTAGCTTTGAGCATTTTTTGACTGTTTTTATTTTCCTTCCAAAATCCGCCTGTAGGAGGACATGTCCGACCGAGGGGTAGGGGGAGGGGGGAAGGCTTCTCAGAAGCGCCTCGAACCTCGACCCTCGAGCCTCGTTCTTCGAGCATCGGTGTGGATCCTCACCCTCGATCCTCGAGCTCTCGAGTCCCGATCCTCAAGCCTCGTTCTTCGAACATCGGCCCTCGACCACCGATCCTCGCCCCCCGACCCTCCCTGCGGCGGGCCGCTGCTCGGGAGTGTATATCCAGTGATGCTGTCGCTACTCGGGGAAAGACAGGGCCACTCTCCAGAGAGGAGCATGGGGACCCACAAGAGCAAGATCGGCATCAACGACTTGGTGGTCGTTCTCTTATTCCTTGTTTTGCCGACCGGCGCGGGCCCTCGCGCACCCCCCCCCCAAATGGAGGAGATCTGTTTTTGGCGCCTGTTTCGAGCAGGTGGAGCCTCCCCCACAGGACGCACTGCTGCAACCAGTCGCGCTATAGCAGAGGTCCGGAGCCAGACCCACCCCTCCCTTCCGCCCAGTGTCGAAACGCCGAATGAGACAACGCCCGCTTGTCCGCACGGTGGCCATCGCGTGAGTCCGCAGCATCGCATGCTCGAGGTCACGGCCTCCACGCCATGCTTCATCAGTGGGCACGGGCGGGCTCCCTGGCCGCGTGCTGGGCCGCTCCGGCCTTGGCCTTCGCTTCGCGCCGTCGCCCGCGGAGGGGGCCGCCGGGAGGTGCTCGTGAGCAGGCCGAGGGACCCGCCGCCAGAGCTCTCTGGCGAGGGCGCGCCGCTGTTCACGGCCCGCCCCCGAGCGGGCGGGGGCGGCCGACGGCGACGACGACGATTTCGTCGACACGCGGGCGACAACGACGACGACGACGACGACAAGAGGACGACGACGACTCACGACGACGACGGCGACTCACGACTCACGACGATGACGACGACGACGACGACGACGACGAAGACGGCAGCGGCGGCGGCGGCGGCGACGACAGCGGCGACAGCGGCGACGGCGGCGACGGCGGCGACGGCGGCGGCGGAGCGGCGGCGCCGGCGACGACAGCGGCCGGCGGCGACGACGACGGCGTGACGATGGCGATGGTGACGACGATTCGCCATGAAGCAAGCCCAGAGCTCCGTCGATGTGTTTTTGTTCAGCTTGCGTTTTTTCCTCGATGGCGGTCCTGGGGCCATCTGAAGCAGGTCCAGGGCGAAAGATTGGCCCCAGGGAAGGAGTCGGGACCTCTGGGACCGCGAGCCGAAAAAAATTGATCGGCGGATATCCGTAAACGGGTTCTGAGGTTTATGTGACTGCGTTTGGCCTCCTGTGGCCCTTCACGGGCCCTGGGGCCGTCAGAAAACTCGGAGCGAAGAGTTGGTCCTGGGAAGAGGCCCCACTTCTTCCTCCTCCTCCTCCTCCTTCTCCTCCTCCTTCTCATCATCATCATCATCATCATCATCATCATCATCATCATCATCAGCATCAGCATCAGCATCAGCATCAGCATCAGCATCAGCATCAGCATCAGCATCAGCATCAGCATCATCACCACCACCACCATCATCTTCCTCCTCCTTCTCCTCCTCCTCCTCGTCCTTCTCCTCATCCTCCCCCTCAGGGTCCAGGAACCGTTCCCTTCAGGCCATCGTCGCCGTCGGTGATTTCGTTTCGGATGCTTTCTGGGCGCTCCCGACGACTCTCTCGCCGCCATGGCCGTGCGCAGATCAGAACATGTTGGCCCGTGTGGGCCGCGGAAAGGTTTGGGTACCGATTTGAGCGGTTTCGGGTCGGACATCGCAAACGACGACGACGGCGTGTCGACACGACGACGATGACGGCCTCCCTCCGAAAGTCAAGACGCTGAAAGAAATGCAACACTCGTCTCGGGAGGGGCTCTGGTTTTCGGGTCGTTCCTTAGATCTGGGTCGGGGGACCTACTCGTGGGTGGCTATACCTCCTCGAGCGAGGACGGCGGCGGCGGCGGCAGCGGCAGCGATGGGGGCCACGGACCAGAGCGCTGGAGGCGAGGCAGGCAGCAGCCCTCGAACCGCCGCCGCGAATGCAGCCCCCGGTTCCGCCGGTGCTACAGTCGCCGCAGCCGTCTGCGCAGCCATCTGCGCAATCTGTCGCCTCGCTGAGCCGCCGCCGCCGCCGCCGTCGTCGTCGCCGTCGCCGTCGCCATCGCCGACGCCGTCGCCGTCGTCGCCGTCGCCGTCGCCGTCGACGTCGTCGTCGTCGTCACCGTCGTCGTCGCCGTGGCCGCGGCCGATGGCGCGCGCCGCGGGCAGGCCGACGCGGAGGCCTTCCTGGGCGCCCCGTGGGACCTCGCCGTGGAGGCGGCGGGCCAGGCCGCGGTGCGCGGGTTGGCCGCGAGGCGCGCCTGCGGTGGCGGCGGCGACGACGACGACGACGACGAAGACGACGGCGTCGGCAGCGGGCGGCGGCGGCGGCGGCGGCGGCGCGGCACCGCGTAGTTGTCGAAGGCCTGCTCGGCTGGGGACTCGACGCCTCAAAACAAGGGTGTCCGAGTGCACAGTCGCGCCCATTCTGGGAGCGGAGGTCGCAATCGAGAGCGACAGCACCACGGCGACGATGGCCGATGGCAGCGACGGCGATGGCGATGGCCGCGGGCGGGGGCGGCAGCGGCGGCGATGACGGCGAGGGCGACGGCGGCGGCGGCGGGGACGGCGACGACGACCCCAGGGGGCCGAGGTCGAGGAGAACTGCCAGGATCGGAGAGACCACGGCATCGGAGGTCTGGGTCAAGCCAGAGGCCCATAGCAATTGTATGCCTTGCTGGTCAAGGCAGGGGGGGCATACTGCAGTCATCGCTGTGACCTGCAACATTTGCAAGGTGGTTGCAACCCACTTGCAAGTGGTTTGCAAGCACACCTAACTGCTCGAAGTCGGATCCGCGACTTGCTCAGGTTTAGAGCAGTTTGGCGGACTTGCGACCAACTTGCAGGCGCCTTGCAAGTGGGTTACAAACACCTTGCAACTGTTGCAAGTCGAACCAACCACTGCAGTACGGTCACGCAGGTTTGCTTAGCGTGTCGCGCTGCCGGTTCTGGCCCAACACGCTTCCGCGCGACACGCTTTCCGTCTTCCAGTCCCCAGTCACCAGTTTTCGAGTTTTTCCCAGCCTCCCATCCCGCGAAGCGGAGCAACACGCTCTCGGCTTGCACGGTGTAGCGTGTCGCAGGGGCCACCGACGCAACCGTGTCAGTGGGGCTTCGGGGTCACTGCACGGTTTTGTCACTTGGGTCGTTCTCCGAGGGCGTCTCGGGCCACCAGAACCTCCGAGGTTCCATAGCCGTCCGTTGGCGGACCGTGCGGTGAGGCCTCTGGGGATTTCGAGGTCACCGCGCGGTCTGTCATTGTACCGTTTTGGGGGCCCCCACATGGAGCGAATGAGCGAATCAATAAAGTCCATGACGTCCCCAGCTTGAACAATCGTGAGTGCGAGGGCCCATGATGGCCCCTCGTGCCAGGAAGAGCCGTCTGAGTAGTCCTGGCCCGTTGCGCGACACGCCACACGGTGGCCCCTCCGCGCCCGACCTGTTCCGCCCACAAGGCCTTCACACCCCCTGTAACGGCTGAAGGATGGGTGAGCGGTC